ATTAACCGAGCTGGGTCGGTCTGTATGGGAGAATCTTGACCTCGGTCGCTAGTACAGACCTCACTGCGTTCGGTCTGTACTGGCGACCTAGGTCAAGATTCTCCCATACAGACCTCCCGCTCGGTTAATAAGAACTTAGTAATGATGGGAGAAGTAAGATGCTAGTCAGTCTTAAGGGGTTCAAGGGTTTCACAAAAGATAAAATCCGTACAATTTTTGAATTGCGTCTCCCCTCACAAGGGAGGGGATGCTAGTTCGTCACTCACAACCCCTTAAATCCACTGACCTTTTCACTTGCAGTTCAGAGAGAGTGAAAACGGTCAGTTTCCAGTAAGGGAGTTTGCACCCGTACTTATCAGTGCGCATTAATGGCGAATTATATTAAACAATAAATTGTAGAAAATGGTTCATACTTGTAAAATCCATTGGCTGAAAGATTAACGCGGTCAAAATAGGCGGAGCGAACCTGGAAATGAGGCGAGGAACTATGTCTGAGTTTTCAACAGATCTTACGACAGAAAAATGATCGAAGTTCTCTGTTTTCGCGTATTTTCTCCTGACTGTATTGAGAGGAAAAGAATCAAAGAATCAATCAGACGAACCGACAGACTAACTGAACAGATTTCATGACTAGATAATTTGGTTTAATCAGCTGTTTGACATCACCCTGTCTGAAGTAAGTAAGGCGAACGAGTGCTCAGTATTTTCTTGGCGAAAAATGGCCGCCATCTTTAATTTTAAGGGCAGCAGAAGGCTGGGGAGAGAAAGTAATTTGGACCAAGGGGGTGAAACATGGCGTTCGGATAAACAATCAGAAGCTTATAACGTTAACTCGTCGTAATGAGACAACCACACTGTAGGCTAATTGACAGAATGATTTATCGACTGACCAACCTGGCCAAGAGGTCAACCACCGTACTAGGTTAAATAACACCTAACCAGTACGTTGAACAAGTCAGCAGGCAACATAGGGATTCCTTGAACTTACCCATTCTTCCCACTTTCCTTTTGGATTTTCCATTTTATATGGCTTTAACCTCTCCATAACTTGCTCGCAAGCAATCTGCCGAATCGCAAAGCACACATCTTATCACGAACTAAAACCTAGCACATGATAGTAAATTAGTCGCTGCTTGTAAAGGAGCCCTGGTCAACATGGTCACCAAATTGGCGTTCAATTTATTACGTACAAAAATCCTGAAGCAATTCCCTCCCTTCAGTTGGTGTAATGTATGAGACTATCATATCACCGAAGTCAAAAGAAAGGACCTCTCCCGTCTACAAAAAGAGTTTTACCTTCACCGCCATGCCGTTAAGATCAGAGGAAGCCGATGCTGCTGTTGGAGATGTGTTTGCAACTGTGTTGGTACTTGTCTCGGATATGTGGATTTTACTCACAGGGATACCAAAAATACGAGAGGCTATCTGCAAGAATGATATTCAATTACAAAGTTGAGCTTTCCTTAATCCTAATTTTAAAAGCATTTTTTTTCAATTAGGTGATCTCTGAAAATATGTTTTACGCACACCTGTCTCATTTTGGTATGCAGACCTTGGCCCATTTCTGTTCCGCCATGAGTTAGGAGAACTGATCCGTCAGTATAAACATGAACGAGCGCACCAGCCTTGAAAAAGAAAAAAAAGAAAAGACTAAGAAAGACAACAACTGATCAGTTGGGTTCGCGCACTTTTATCCACGCGCTTATAACTGAGAGCGCTTCCGATTTATCAGGTCTACCTAGAAAAATTCCTAGAACGCAAAAGACCATCACCTGGCGTGCCTTGCGTGGTGAGCTCCCCCACGTGTTTCAAGGTTTTATTATCGAGCAATGTCGTAACTGGAGAATTAAGTCCCGTGAAAGAATAATATTCTCCACGTCTGAATAAAAAATAGCTCAAGCAATCGCAATTTGGCCGGAGAAATCTCCATATTTGCCGGAGATTCTTTGTAGTAGCCCGGTGATTTTTTTACAGTGGCCAGAGATTTCTTCGTAGTTTCCTGAGTCTCCTTCATAGTTGCTCGAAATTTCTTCAAAGTTTTCGAAGATTTCTCCGATCTCAGCTGCTACATTCGCCAATTTTCGTTTTATGTTCAACCCACCTCTTCAAATGTTGAGTGTATTTAATGCCCTTGCTCGTTCAGACTCGATTCCCCGAGTATCACGCGCGTAGCGCCATTCAAACAGAACAAAACAAGTTCAGCCCGAAACAACTTACTCGCAAAACTGCTTTCTCTCCAAAACGGCCAATTATGACAAATGAAAAGCGGGGTTCAGTCGTATCCAGTTCGAATAAAGCAATATGAAAAGGAAGGTTTTTTTTCTGTACCTGATTCATAAAAGTAGCTGTGAAACTAATACCAAACTTGGTAGGCGTCAGTGCAATGCCTCGTTTTCGCCACCGGTTTTCCCTTGGGAGGAAAGAGATTATGGAAAACAATTCAGTATCATAGATGTCAGGTTACATAGTCAATGTGGATGACATTAAATGAGAGTTGGAAAAAAATAACAACTTTTACGGGTATGGCAAACGGCTACGGCAAATTATCTATTTCTCTTCCCTACTCCTTGGTCAACGTCACAGAACGAAAAACTGATCTCGAAATTGCAAAAAATACGAAGTGTACGACCAATTTGAATTCATCATTTCGTTATTTCCATTTGATTGTAACTTCAAGTCTGAGGCTCTCCTCTAGCAAAGATTCAAATGTTGTCCCATCTTCACACCACCTAATACTCTCGCAACTTTTCAAGAAAATAGATCTTAAAAAACATGCTGTTCTACCAACTCCGTCATTATTATTAAAACTGAATAACTCCTTGGACCCCGAAGATTTGATGCGTGTCTATCCCTTATGGCTGCCAACATTTCCTTGCAAGATTGTTTTGAGAATTTGGTGATACATCAAGACAACTCTCGCTGACTGATGACTTTGTCTTTTCTCATCACTTGTTTTCTAAATAAAGTATTGTTTTCGTCAGGAGAATTTACACGTTGAACACATCTGGGAGTTGCAGGGACGAAGAAAAAAGGAAAAGAGGATCCACTCAACCTGTTGAAAGCCTGAATGTGTTCTCTTCTTTTTTCGTAGAGACACCTCTCAACTAACTCGTCCCAAACACGCTGAATATGACAACTGGCCAGTTCTTGGTTGAAATGAGTTACATCTCCTTCTTGATAAAAGTTCAACTCTCTGACCTGTTCACGGTCGACGTGAGTAAAAAAAAAAAAAGAGAGAAGAAAGAAAACTGATATTTTGATAGCTGGAGCAAATAGAAAGGGCAATGGGAAAATAATTTCAAAACTTTGCAAAATTTGGCACGGGGGGGGG